TGGAGTTTTTCGGGAGTGAGTGGAGTTTGGAATATAGGCAGCATTATGGGTGGAGTTTTTCGGGAGTGGGCGGAGTTTGGAATATAGGCAGCGTTTTTGAGAGTGGGCGGAGTTTGGAATATAGGCAGCATTTTTGAGAATGGGCGGAGTTTGGGATATGGGTGGAGTTTTTTGGGAGTGGGCGGAGTTTGGAATATAAGCAGCGTTTTTGAGAGTGGGCGGAGTTTGGGATATAGGCAGCATTATGGGTGGAGTTTTTCGGGAGTGAGTGGAGTTTGGAATATAGGCAGCATTATGGGTGGAGTTTTTCGGGAGTGGGCGGAGTTTGGAATATAGGCAGCGTTTTTGAGAGTGGGCGGAGTTTGGAATATAGGCAGCATTTTTGAGAGTGGGTGGAGTTTGGGTTATGGGTGGAGTTTTTTGAGAGTGGGCGGAGTTTGGAATATAGGCAGCGTTTTTGAGAGTGGGCGGAGTTTGGAATATAGGCAGCATTTTTGAGAGTGGGCGGAGTTTGGGATATGGGTGGAGTTTTTTGGGAGTGGGCGGAGTTTGGAATATAGGCAGCGTTTTTGAGAGTGGGCGGAGTTTGGAATATAGGCAGCGTTTTTGAGAGTGGGCGGAGTTTGGAATATAGGCAGCATTTTTGAGAGTGGGCGGAGTCTCGGAAATAGGCAGCGTTTTTGAGAGTGGTCGGAGTTTTGAATATAGGCAGCATTTTTGAGAGTGGGCGGAGTCTCGGATATAGGCAGCATTTTTTTAGAGTGGGCAGAGTTTGGAATATGGGTGGAAGTTCTTGGGTGTGGGCGGAGTTTGGCAAACTGATTGGTCTGATTGACCTGTCCTCTGGTGGAAGTTAAAGGATGAAGTAATGGTAATTAGTAAAATTATTGTAAACATGTCAATATAATTTATTTTTATTTATTTATTTTGTAATATAATTTATTGACTTCACATTTGGTATGAAGACTTATGACTGATATTATTATTCAAGTTAACAATGTTTTTATGAACACTTTCTTAATCTTTTTATCAGTGCTTTCTGCTTGTTAACCCCCAGCTGTACAGCGTTCCAACAGAATCATTATGGCCTCTTTAAACCCCACCCGAAATATTTAATCCAACGTCTTTAAAAACTCCTCCCACAAAAGTCAAGCAGACCAATCATGTCGCCCCAAACTCCTCCCACACCCCAAGAACCTCCCACTTAGTGACTGCAGAGAGCTCCTCCTCCTCAGTTTGGAGAAATGAAGTTAAATTCAGACTGAACGACGAGTCCAAACCGAACAAAGAGCCTTTCTGACATCTTATAATGACTTTAATCTAAAATGTTTGTTAAAACCTTTGTTTTCTGAAATTAACATGTAATTCTGTGGTAATGTCAGATCAAATGTCAGCAGCAGCTAGCAGTAGCACTTCCTTTTCAGCCTGTGCAGCTGCGTTTAGAAACTGAAGTCTGAGTGGAGGATCAACGAGTTAATGAGGAGTTTCTCTTTTGAAGAGGGAAGATTTTAAAAAGCTGCAGTTTTCCCTCCTTTTCTTTGAGGCGTCTCCACTGGAGACGCTCCTTCATCTTCATCTTCCTCCATGTCTCCTCCTGCTCCTCATCCACAGCTGAAGGTTTTCAGACTAATGGAGCCGCTACGGCAGAAAGAGCTAAAAATAAACTGAACATGACACGCTGTCAGGTGGGGAGGGAAAAGAAAAGGTTTTATTTTATTATAGAATTAATCTGTTGCTGAACTGTGATCTTAAAGCTTTAAATAAAACTTTTAACCTCACTTTTAGGAACGATTTGTGACCTTTAACTTTGCAGAGACCCCCTAACTGATTAAACGTCCCCCGTTTAAATGTTGTTACAGCTCTGACCTTTTATTTCCACCATTCTTTGGAGAAAAGTCTGAATTACTTGAGCCAAACTTTAAAATAAACGATGCATGAAGCAGGAGAACTCTAAAATTATGGAGGGCAGAAACTGTCATAATTAGAAATAAAAGCAGAAATGTATAAATGGACCAATAAATAAATAAATAAATAAATAAATACACTTAAAATGCACCAATTAAATTAAAATGCAGAACTTTACCTCATGTTTTATAATTGACCTTCATATTTATTTTTCCAACTTAGTTCCAATAAATTATATATTTTAAAATATAAATAACATTTTACTGTTTTTAAAAGTATATATTTTTTTCCACAAGTCTCTTTATTTCATCTGTTGTTTTTACATTTCTGTCTCCTGTTTTTACGTTACCTTATGCATTTCTGCCTCATTGTGTAAATAAGGTGGGCGGAGCTTCTTGGGTCAGCTTCTCTCCTATTGGCCAACAGACAGGAAGTAGCAGGATCCATGTGCAGATCTACTGTGCTGCTGCTGCCTCAGTTTAAAGTTTAGTTTAAAACAAAGGTACAGGTAATTGTTTTCCTCCTTGCCATGTGGATATAAAATAATTAAATATAAACATTTACAAAACAAAAAAGCATGTACAAGTAAAAGGAAAAACTAAAAATATATATTTTTAAAACAGTAAAATATATAAATTATTGGAACTAAGCTGGAAAAATAAATATGGTCAATTAAATAATAAAACACGAGGTAAAGTTATCCTCATTATAAGTCTATTTATTTATTTGTCCATTTACAAATTTCTAATTTTATTTCTAATTATGACAGTTTCGGTCCTCCATAAAAATCCTTGGTGTGTTCCCACATTAAATGTTGCTTAAACCTCACGTTCTCATCATTAGCTGTACTAATTATTAATTATTCCCACATTATTAACATCAACAGTAGTCATCCTACAACATATTTTCCATTCACTTCATTTCTGTACATTTCTTCAGCTGCGTTCTATTTGTAACAGGAAGCACCTGCGCAGGTGTCAGAAGCAGGAAGTGAGATTTTCACGCAGCGTCAGGATGAATCACAAACTGTGATGTGAAATCTGGAGATGAAAATAGTTCAGCTCGCACAGAAACTCCTGCCGCCGTGGTTTAGTGCCGCGCTGCCCTGCAGGCGCTGTAAACAACAACAAAACCTTTCTCCTTCAGTAAACCGACAGCTTTCATCAAAATAATAATAATAAAAATGAGGAAGCTGGTAAAACATCAGATCTTTGCTCAGTTTTAAGTTTGTCCGGTGCTTGTATGATACTTTGCTCTCTTAGCTGAACCTCCCTGCTGCTTTATTTTGAAATCCTTCACGGTGTTTCCGGCTCGGGTCGTGCAGCCGCTGCGTCTCCTTTTATTTGTCTTTGATTTGTTCCAACCGCTTCGTTTAACTCTGAGTCACGAGCCGTGAAACCGGAGGAGAAAAGTGGAAACCATCAACGTCTCGTCGTCTTTACACGGAGTCATCGTGACGACAAGCCGCTGAACCTGTCATCTACACGAAACGTGTTTATTATTAAACATAACAGAATGATCAAAAAGAAAAAAATAGTATAGGTCTTCTGGACGGGTTCTTCTCTAATGAAACGTTTCGTCTCTCCTCCAAGAGACTTCTTCAGTCTGAGAGTTTCAGGCTAAATTCAGGCTTTTAAGCCCTGCCTCCATGTGACTGATACTCACATCACATGGCTATCGTTGACACCTAATTAACTCTTATTGTTAACAGGGGGTGGAGTGATACTGGCAATAGCAGCGCTGTAGGAGGGGGACAACTGAAAACGGAGGCCTCCACCTCTTAATGATGGACGGTCTTTCTTCACAAAAATGTCTTCTTTTACTCCTCTCTCAAACCAACGTTCCTCTCTATCAAGAATGAGAACATCCTCATCTCTGAAAGAGTGACCGCTGGCCTGTAAATGAGTGAAAACTGCAGAGTTCTGGCCATTAGATGTAGCTCGTCTGTGTTGGGTCATTCTTTTGAACAGTGGCTGCTTTGTTTCCACGATGTCCTCCGATGGCCTCCGTTTTCAGTTGTCCCCCTCCTACAGTGCTGCTATAGCCAGTATCACTCCACACCGTTAACAATAAGTGTTAATTAGGTGTCAACGATAGCCATGTGATGTATCAGTCACATGGAGGCAGGGCTTAAAAGCCTGAATTTTACCTGAAACTCTCAGACTGAAGAAGTCTCTTGGAGGAGAGACGAAACGTTTCATTAGAGAAGAACCCATCCAGAAGACCTATACTATTTTTTTCTTTTTGATTTTTTACCTGGATTACTGAGATGCATCAGGACATAACAGAATGATTAATAATAAACACACTGTTATATTTTACAGTGTGATTATTATTAAACACGCTGTAAAATATATTTTATAGCATGTTTAATAATAAACATAACAGTGTGATTAATAATAAACACACTGTTATATTTTACAGCGTGTTAAATAATAAACATAACAGAATGATTAATAATAAACACACTGTAAAATATAACCTGATGGTTGTACGACTTTATGTAAGTTTTAAATGTGCAAAAACTGAACAGGAGTTTTAAAAATCTTTACAGCCTCATGAGAGAGAAAGACGTGAAGAAACAAAGTTGTTGTTTTTTTGAGCCTCAGAGTTTATTAATTTGGTTCAACAGAGGAAATATAATTTATTTCCTAAAGGTTAAAAACCTGCCGTCTGTCGGGTCAGAGATTTGAACCAAAATCTTTTGTTAATTGGTTTTATTTTAAAACATACTTTGGTTAATGTGACCAGATGGTCTCAGTTTGTGTTGAGGATGACTCTCAGCTACAACCACCTGAAACAGACGGGGTTACAGTCGTGTCTGTGCTCACCTGTGGCGGCCATCTTGGATTGGGTTGACTTTGAATGTTTCAATAAAATCCATCTAAAGAGTTGTAAACTTTTCATTTGTTGGAGAATTAAATTTGAAAGATCCATTTTTTTATTATTAAAAAAGCTTGACCAACATCTATTTTACGCTAAATAAATAAATAAATAAATGTTTGTGTGTTTTTGTCTGTAACATTGTGTTTCAGCTCCTCTTGTTGTGACTGTTTGCTTCCAGCTGCTGTTGTTGTTGTTGTTGTTGTCGTCACTGGTTGTGTTGATTGACACGTTGCTGCTCTTGTTGTTGTTGTGCTTCTGTTTTGCAGACGGTCTGGTTGGACCTGCACCAGAGACTAACAGATACAGACGGCACCCCGAGCGCAGTGAGTAGGCCAAATACAGGGGCAATAAACGGCAGACGTGCCCCGTGCACGATCTGCCCTGTCCTGAAAAATTACTGACGTCAGTGAACGCATCACAATCACATTTTGTAAGGAGCGCCAAGTGTAAAACTAAATATCAACAAATGTCACTAAATTACATGTATATAGTTCACTTTGAGTGTAAAACCCTACTTAAAAAATTTCCACTAACGTTTTATTATTTATCTCACTGTTCTTGCGTTATGCTAATTTTTACTAAATTTTAAATCTAAATCTAAATGTTAAATAAGTTAAATCTTAAATGTTGCAGCTAAATGATAAAGTTTACATTTTACTTTTTCAGAATGGAATGCAGCCTTTGCTTCCTGAGAAAAGAGCAATGCTGCTAACTGTGCTAACGCTGCTAACTGTGCTAACGCTGCTAACTGTGCTAACGCTGCTAACTGTGCTAACGCTGCTAACTGTGCTAACTGTAACTCCTCTACAAGACATCAAACTCACAGTTGTGATCGACGTCAGAGCTGCACTTCAAACTACCAGATCTCTGGTACCATCTATATTGTTTTCAATCAACACAATTTTAATATGAAGTTTAAAATGCCACCTACTGCAACGTTTGGTTAGCAGCGTTAGCAACATTACTTAGCCTTTATCACAGGATAATGACGTCGGGACGACAGCCAAGTGTCAACAGCAAAGGCTGTTTTAAAACTTTCACATTTAGATTTAATATTTAAATTAAACATTTTGTAAAAATTAAAAATGTAATGAATTAAAGAACAATAAAAAACTTTAGCTGAACTTTTTTTTTGAAAGTGAGTGAGCTAAATAATGAAAATGTGTCGGTGACACTGTTTAACATTTTATTTAATATTTAAACATTTCTGTAAACCTGAATCCTACTTTCTTTCTTCAACCTCCGTACTTTAGGTCCAAAAATAAATCATTTAGAAGCAGAAACCAGTTTGAAGGAGAGCTAATTAAAAATAAGATCTGGCAGAGCAGCAGGAGACTGAGTGTGAAATGAAAAGTTTCTGTTTATTTTGTGTTTTTACTTATAAATAATAATGATAAAAGATCCTGATGAAGCTTAAGTGGAGCTGCAGCCAATCATCACCTCGCAGCACAGAAATCAGATCCTCGAGACACAAATCTGAGCACGGCTGCAGCTTTTTCCAGCTCCCACACTTTAATAAGAGGGTTTTTATCAAATATATCTGATTACAAGCTGCAGGAAATCTGTTGAATGTTAAATTTTAATTCTAACACCTCTAATTTTTTTGGGAACATCATCCACGTGTTGTCGTTCGGTTCCTGCCCCCGGCCTCAGGTCTGCTCCGGTCTGCAGGAGACCCGTCTCATAATCACATGTGGCACTTTAGCCCACAGCAGTCGAGCCACTTATGGCTTCAAATTAGAGCCGTGAGAGGCGGACTAAATCGTCCTGTTGTCATGGCCACAGACACCGAAAGGTTGTTTTCATTATTCGACCTTTTTTTTTTTACTGTCATTTGAAAATGACTGCAGAGAGAGAAATAGGAGAGAAATAAGACAGAAATAAGAGGGAAATAAGAGAAAAAAGAGGGGAAATAAGAGGGAAATAAGAGAAATAGTATAAAGTAAAAAGGTAACAAAATGTAAGAACAGTGATCTAAAAACAACAATCAAATGATTTTAAATTCTAAAAATGTTTTACTGACATTTCGTTACATTTTATTTTTCACCTGGCGCCTCACAGCAGATTAAACTACAGCCTCATCAACCAAACAAGTTCTTTTCTACAATAATCTGCTCGCTGAGCTTCACTGAATAAACATAAACAAGCTGTAAACAAACAAGCTGTAAACAAACAAGCTGTAAACACAATTTGTTTTTCTAACTTCAACAGAAACACAACAGGTGGAATAAAGAGACTTTTATTTAATTCATCCTGTTTTTCCTCCTCGACCTTCGATTTTGCACCAGGAGAAAGACTGTGATGTGATTGGCTGTCATTTCTCTAGTCTCCTGTCAACCCCCCCCCCCCCCCCCCCCCCCCCCCCCCCCCACAAGACTCGTAGGAGCAGATCCAGGATCAGGTGTGTTCAGGTGGATCAGCTTCAGGTGGATAACAGGTTCATTTTTTTCCTTCTTGCTGGATCCTGACTGTTTTCTGCTCCTCAGCAGACGCGTCGGGGAAGAGAAGCAATAAAAAACGGTGAAAGTTGACAGTGAACGAAATAAGAAGTGAGAAAATAAAGAGGAGTGAGATCAGGGACAGATTAGGAGGCAATAAAATAATAATAATAATAATAGAGACGGAGCAGAAACACCAGAGACACTGCTTCTGTTTTTGACTCTCAGCAGCAGAATTCTTGTTCCTTTTTTCTGTTTTAATCATAAAAACTAAGAAAGCTTCAGCTCTGAACAACAACATATATTTTATATTTTAAAGCTGCAGATTCTGCTTTCAGGTTTGGTTTTACTGATATTTGACAGAGTTATGATCTGTTACTGCACGTGTCAAACTCAAGGTCAGTGGGCCAAAACTCGTCCTCGTTACCATTTTGTCTGGCCCCAAAATGTGAAATAGTTTTATAGTTTCTGGCCAACTTTCAAGCCAACGAAATTAGGTTTGATTTGTTCAGTAATTGATTTTGATATCGAAAGAGCAACAGAGAATTGATCTTTTCTGTATTTTCTTATTTTACATCGGTTAGTTGGGTTTTTAATGAGGTTTTTCTTTTCCAGATCAGCTGGATTGTTTACCTGTGACATGCATATCCATGAAATCCAAAAAGTCAAAGAAAATGTATTTATATTCAAGAAACTTGGCATAAAACACATGATTTTAACCATTATGTCACATAACTGGCATATTTTCTTTTGAATTTGGCTCAGCTAAAGTGAAACAGGAAGTGACATCAGAGGAGAACTCTTTGAGAAAGAAAACCCCGTTTTTTGTTTATTTAAACAATATTATTTGAACTCTGACTCTTTCTCATCTCTCTATGATAGAGATTAAAATAATCTAGAGAAACATCAGATTCTTCTCTACTGTGTTGTTAGCCATTTTATCAACGCTCTGTTCACATGCAGACGTTCCCCTTTGACATCACTTCCTGTTACACAAGCAAATATCTCAACAACTGTTCATCTCAGTGGCATGAAATCTTTTTTTTTACAATACCATATGTTATCAGTGTTATCCTTCCAAAAATACATTAATTTTTATTACAACAATTTGATGTCACAGGCACTTTAAGAAATAATAAATGGAAAAAGTTGTTGATAGAGTAAAATGAGTCTGCTGGCTAATGGCAGGTGTGAAGCTACGTCTGCTGATTGTTTCCTGAATGTTTCACTTCTCTGAAAGATCAAATATACGACCGCAGCTCAACTTTCTCGCTTCACATCTTTTTTTTCCCAAAACATTTTCTTTTCATTTTTAAGAGAAAGTGAGGATGCTTTGAGTTGAGGAGGCTGTGGTTTATTAATGTTAATTTTTTTTCAGTTGCTTAGCTTTTTTAGCTTTTAGCTGTGGTTTTTTAATATTATTTTTTCCAGTTGTTTAGCTTTATTTAGCTTTTAGCTGCGGTTTGTTAATAGTATTTTTTTCCAGTTGTTTAGCTTTATTTAGCTTTTAGCTGTGGTTTGTTAATATTATTTTTTCCAGTTGTTTAGCTTTATTTAGCTTTTAGCTGTGGTTTGCTAATATTAATTTTTTCAGTTGTTTAGCGTTATTTAGCTTTTAGCTGGGGTTTGCTAAAATTAGTGTTTTCAGTTGCTTAGCTTTATTTAGCTTTTAGCTGTGGTTTATTAATATTATTTTTTCTGGTTGTTTAGCTTTATTTAGCTTTTAGCTGTGGTTTGCTAATATTAGTTTTTCCAGTTGTTTAGCTTTATTTAGCTTTTAGCTGTGGTTTGTTAATATTGTTTTTTCCAGTTGTTTAGCTTTGTTTAGCTTTTAGCTGTGGTTTGCTAATGTTAGTTTTTTCAGTTTTTTAGCATTATTTAGCTTTTAGCTGTGGTTTGTTAATATTATTTTTCTGGTTGTTTAGCTTTGTTTAGCTTTTAGCTGTGGTTTGTTAATATTGTTTTTTCCAGTTGTTTAGCTTTATTTAGCTTTTAGCTGTGGTTTGTTAATATTATTTTTCTGGTTGTTTAGCTTTGTTTAGCTTTTAGCTGTGGTTTGTTAATATTATTTTTTCAGTTGTTTAGCTTTATTTAGCTTTTAGCTGTGGTTTGCTAATGTTAGTTTTTTCAGTTGGTTAGCTTTATTTAGCTTTTAGCTGTGGTTTGTTAATATTATTTTTTCAGTTGTTTAGCTTTATTTAGCTTTTAGCTGGGGATTGCTAATATTAGTTTTTTCAGTTGCTTAGCTTTATTTAGCTTTTAGCTGTGGTTTGTTAATATAATCTTTTAAAACAGTCCTCTGTCACCTGTGTGTTCTTTTAGTCGCAGTTAGTTTTCTGCTAATGAGAACAGACCAGTTAAATGAAATGATGAGTCTGAGTGGAGGAGTTGGTGTTGGAATAAAAAAGGCTTTTAAAGAACAGGAATCAGGAGGCAGAAAGTCTGTTTTATTATTAGTTTGATAAATGAAGTGAAATTGTAAATTATTCTGCAGTCAGGCGTAAACGCAGCAGACGGGCTGTGGCAGGAGAAGAAGCTGTAGATCAATATGAAGAATAGAGAATATAAATTTAGGTGTTATGAATGAATGACATCACCACTGCAGCTCTGCCTCAGACGTAATGAATTAATCATTTTTTCCTCAAACAGCTCCGACTCAGTAAAATAGGTCCGGTTAATACTCAGCACTCAGAACCCCAGATATTTATTCTGTGAAGACTTTAGGTACATTTTATATATTCTATAATCATTTTAATCAAATAAAAGAGGACTAAAGTTTGACTTCTAGACTGAACATTTATTTCCAGAACATCCTGAAAGTAGCATGACCTCTGACCCCTGCTGAAATGACTGAGAACAGGGAAGGTTTGACCTCTGACCTGTGC